AATCATGCTACTAACCGATTAATTTCCTAACAAAAATAACTAGCAAAATATCAATATGAAAATTTGATGCTATGTATACATTGGCATGATCTAAACGTATGCAATATTTTAATGGATGCTGTGTTTCCGCTTCTATTAGAAAGTAGCAGCAACTATGATTTTTCAAATGGAACACCCTGTATTCCATTGTATTTTCAGATTATCCCTGAAGATCAGATTTCATCTATGTATGGCACTTGGAGTCTAGCAGGGGTGATTACAAAGATATAGGGTGTTTAAAATAGAGATTTTTCAATTTTAGGATATTTTTGTGTCGAAACTATTCATTATTGATCAAAACGGCTTTCGTGTTGGAAAAAATACAGGGTGGTTTAAGATTCAGAATTCTGATCACTCTGTATCTGTTCCAATTCAATTTCAGTAAATAGTGAATCAAAAATCAAGACAGGGACATAGAAGCCGTTTTGACACAAAGAGTGATGCATTGATGAAATAAGATCTTCATGGAGAATATAAAAATGCAATACAGGGTGTTCCATTTGAAAATTCGAAGTTGCTGCTATGTTCTAGTAGAAGCGGCAACGCCGCATCGTATAAAATATATTAGACGTGTGGATCATGTAAAAATATACAATCAAAGGACCCCGCACGAAAACACGGGAAATTGGCTCTCGGTCGAATTGGCTGAAATTACACTATGTTGTTGTGGGATGGCTCATTAAAAAATATGAGAGTTTAAAAAGTTTTGTATGTTTAGTTTCTGAGACATAAGCCGACAAAGTTCGTAAAAACGTCGTATCGGGGTAGGATTGACAAAGAAAAAAATGTTTTTTCAGTATAAATAAGACAAAATAAGTTAGAAAATGTATTGATCGGAACTCAAATACATGTCTAGTTATGATCACATAAATTATAGTAAATCAGGGTGTATACGAGGCACGGTCAAAAAATTCATTTTTCGGAAAAAGATTCGAGCACTATTCCAAAACCAACAAGTTATATTTTGGTGAGACATTCTGGTTTCAGTCTATTGTAGGCTTCGAAAACGTATTTCCATTCTTGATGAATATCTTCTCTCTATGTTATACCCCTTTTGGAAAACAATGGACAGCTTGCTTTTGATCACAAAAAAGGGATTGATTGATACTGTTGATTTATTGAAAGCTGAGGTAACTTACTAGCAGATTCAGTTGTTCAATATTTCCTTTCATTTAGATACAGGGTGTGTTAGATTTTGTTGGAGATTATTTAACATGTTTCAATTGAATATTTCGAAAACAGTTCCGTTAATTTCGATCTCATTTTACTCACACTATTTTGAATATGTTGAGTATCTATGCGAAACGTTTTTCAATTTCTTATGTTTTGTTTCTGCGATATGCATTCTTGAGTTTATAGTATTACAGGAATTATAGGGTTATTACCTCGGATATTACTATCGATTCAAGAGAACTTCACGGAATCCATACTGTTGAGTTTCATATTGTTTTTCTATGTGGTTCGTGTTGTTTATAGTAACAAATTATTGATCGCTAATAGTTTCATAATGTAATTGAATGTTCGAAAGATTCCGTACAGTTCTGTTGAATCGATAGTAATATCCGAGGTATAATAACCCTATAATACCTGTAATATAATAAATACTGTGAAAATGATATCTCAGAAACGAAACATAAAAAATTGAAAAACTTTTCGCATATGATAGTCAACATATTCAAAATAGTGTCAGTAAAATGAGATCCAAATTAACGGAACTGTTTTCGAGATATTCAATTGGAACATGTTAAATAATCTCCAAAAAAATCCAACACACCCTGTATCTAAATGAAAAGCAATATTGAACAACTGAATTCGCTAGTGAGTCAGCTTTCATTCAATCAACAGCATCAATCAATCCCTTTCTTTGTGATCGAAAACATGCTGTCAATTATTTTCAAAAAGGGGTACGTGTAACACAAAATTCTAAAAATTCATATCTCGAACTGAGATAGTTATCAAAAATCAAAATACGTTTTCGAAGCCTACAATAGACTTGAACTATGATGTCCCACCAAAATATAACTTATTGGTTTTGGAATAGTGCTCGATTTTTTTTTTCCGAAAAATGAATCTTTTGACCGTGCCTCGTATGCACCCTGATTTACTATAATTTATGTGATCATAACTAGACATATATTTTAGTTCCGATCAATACATTTTCTAGCTTATTTTGTCTTATTTATACTAAAAACACAGTTTTCTTCTTTGTCAACCCTACCCCGATACGACGTTTTTACGAACCTTGTCGGCTTATATTTTTAAACTCACATATTTTTCTAATGAGCCATCCCACAACAACATAGTAAAAGTTCAGCCAATTCGACCGAGAGCCAATTTCCCGTGTTTTCGTGCGGGGTCCTTTTTAAATCCGTCTAATTAACGCTCATCGTGAAAACAGGGAAACTGGACGATGAAAAAAAAATCCTAAAATGTGATAATGTGCCCTCTAGTGAGCATTTTCGATTCTTCAAATTTCAGGAATATAGCTAGAAAAAGATAGGAGAAATGGGGTTATACCATGACTCTGTATCAGTATATCACTCATAATGAAATGATGAAAATAACACTCACCAGTGTGAAAACAAAATGAATTTGTATAAAATAGTCCACTTCTGATATTTCATTGTTTGAAACACCAAAATAACACACGATCGCAATTATGTAATCACTGATTCGAATGAGAAACACAAAAACACTATACTATCACTCATTTTTTAGTGAACACTCTGTTTGGAATAATTATTCATATTCCTTTCGCGAATTTTTCAATGCCTGTCACAAAATTCGACCGTATGTGATGACATCTAATATGAGACTGTCTTGGTTAACCACTGATCACGAATGAATGACTAATAAGTTGAATCATGCTGTTAACCGATTAATTTCCGAACAAATGATTCATCTATGACCGAGTCTATGACTAATGATGATAATGAAATCATACGGGGGAAAAATATATACAGGGTATTTGGTTCACCGACGTATATCAGGGTGGTATGTGATGTGATACTGAAAATATTTAAACATATTTTCTGTTATACAAAGTGTTACATTTTTGAAGAAAGAATATCTGCACTGTAATTCAATATAAATGAAATTAGACAAAGTTCATATAAACATTTCCAGTGGCGTCACAGTGGGTAAATTCATCGATATTCATGGTGAATGTCATTGTACAGGGTGCGCCTCTCAAAATGGAATCCTCCCATAACTATTTCGTTTCAGAGATATGAAAAAAATGTTGAATTTATTTATTTATTTATTTATTTACATGAATAGGCGACTCAACAGATGGTTTTACCCATCCAATTACAGAGTAGCACAAAATTAGAACAATATAATGAATAGTTGTGAAAGTTGACACAATTCGAAAATGAAACATAAACGTGAGCTTCGATAGTATCTATAGATTTCAGTTCTTAAACTAACATAGTACAAAATGAAATAAAACAAAAACTGAATAATATTGTGATGTCAGATTCATGTTTATAGCAAAAAAAACTCGAAAGAATATTCATTTATACATGATGATGATGATGCTATACTGGATTGCTTGAAGCACCAAATTTATGAATGTATATACAGGGTGGGTTACGGTAGATGGCACCTTAGACGTTTACGGAGAACGGGACATAAGATCATTCTGAAAATTTGGTTACTCAAGTAATTGCTCTTGATCTATCGATCTAAAATATTTTCAGCTCTGCGGCGTTGCTGCTTCTATCGAAAAGTAGCAACAACTTTGTTATTTTGAATGGAACACGTTGTATTTTATTGCATCTTCAGATTCTCTCTGAAGAGCTGATTTCATCGATATATCACACTTGGGGTCTAGCGGAAATGATTACAGAGATATAGGGTGTGAAAAATCGACATTTTTCAACTTTAGGAATTTTTTTTGTCGAAACTATTCATTATTGGTCAAAACGGCTCACATGTCCCTATCCCAACTTTTGATCAACTATCTACTGGCATTTAATTGAAACAAATACAGGGTGGTGCAGAATTCAGATTCTTGATCACCCGGTATATGTCCCAATTAAATATCAGTAGATAGTTAATCAAAAGTTGAGATAGGGACATGACAAAAATGTTATCGATGAATTCCAAACATAATTGACTATAATCGTTTTTTGAAAGTCAGAAAAGATGTAGAAAAAATATCTAGATCAGAAATATTGCCAACAACAGAATTGTGGGATCTAACACATCTAATGAATGGTGAATTTAAATGAGCATTCGTTGAGCTTTGGCCCACCACGAACAAAGGTCTATTCCTAACAAAGTACTGTGTGCAGTTGAAGTTGAGACTACTGCGAAGGGTCGACGAATCGAGTGAATTGTTGACTATTTTATAATTTTGAATGAAAAAGTTGTGTCAAACGACCCAAACTTTTATTTGGGGGTCGTTTCGAAAAACTTTGTATTTCAACATTTTTCCACATCTCTGAAAACAAAAGATTTAAGGAGGGGGTTCCATTTCAAGAGGCGCACCCTGTACACCACCGGTTTTTCTGAGTTTCATATTTTTATTAGATTGGACTAATGAAATAACAACTTTTTTATCCTTTGTGTGATTTTTGTATCAAGCTTAGTTTTTGAGGAAACAATAAAAATTCGATTTGACTCCAAATTTTAATGTGTTTTCAAGACTTCCATTGAGATTACTCAATAACCCCAATTATAATCATTCTGAAATTTTGGGGCTTTCTCAGTCTCCATCCATACCTAATTTTGGCACCATGAAAGCTTATACAAGGGTTTATAAATAAAAACAATTAATACTTTCAACTTCAATATCCTGTATCTCAAAAACGGAGCAAGTTAGGTGGACACATGCTTATATGAGCTTTATTTGCTAGAATGTCACAAGGAAACACCCCTTGAATTTTTTCGGTGTTATTTAGATACACCTTGTATATGTCTTTTCAAGTCAGCCTCAGTGGAGCGTTATTTTGCAGCTGCAGCTTTGGGATACGGGGGGCATGGAAAGAGTAGCGTCGATTACTTCCAGCTATTATAAGTTCGCGGAGGCAGCTATTCTGGTGTTTGCCTTGGACAATCCAGCGTCCTTTCATGTTCTCTCTCAGCACTTATTGGATATTGTCACCTATGCCGAGAATGCCAGAATATTTTTGTGCGGGAATAAATCCGACTTGGTTGGTAATGTTCCTCAAATCACCGACTCAGAAATAGAGTCATTTTGGTAAGTTACAGAACACCAGTTCACTTGAAGTTTATTTGTTCTTTGATTAATAAGAAAATTATTTTTGAAATATCTCACCGAAAACAACTATTTTTTTGGCTAAAATATTAGGGTTATACATCGATAACTTGTTGCTTAATTACAATAAAGAGTGTCGGTTCAACAGTTGAAATAATTCAGCATTTTCAGAAAGAACCAGAAAGTGAGTTCTTGAATACTTCTCTACACCCCAAACATAAATTCTAGAATTATTTTCGTTTATGCTCGTTTATTCTTGTTGAAAGAATATCACATATCTCACATTTTTGTTTATAAGAAGACAAGAACAAGTGACTTAAATTTGCCCAGTTCATCCATGACAGTGTTGAAATCAGTTAAATCTTGAGAGCGATGAATGTTAAAATGTTAAAATATCCAAACTATAGCTAATAGTAGGAGAGTCGGCTGCAGATTTCTACCGTCATCTGATAACGAAATGATTTAAACTGGGCGTCAATTGAAACGTTAATAGTGAAATTTGGCATCAAGTTTGACTTCTCGTAATTTCTAAAATATTGAACGAATTTTGAATTGCCGCCCAGATTCTGAATGCCTTTTTCATCGTCTTTCGAATCGTTCCTTACAACTTCTTCTGAATTGATCAGGACCCGTGATACAGGGTGAAACAAAGTTTCGTGCATTTTGAAAAGAATTTCTCCGCTCCCCCATTTTGTCGGAAGACCACGATGTTCATATTTTATTCAGGCATTTCATAAATAGCAACCGATAGCAACCATACCTCGGGACGTTTTCGAGTTTTTGCCAAAAACTACTGTGGTTTCCGAACAAAAAAAAATTTATTTGCATTTTTTTAAATGGCCTGATTACTTGTATCCTCAAAACGATGAATCAGTCTATTCATTGTCATGACTGACTGAAAATGGTACTTAAATGAGTTTGGGTATATCCTAATCGTCGTAATCTGAAATAATAATGATCTGTACTGAATTATAGTTTATATCACTATAATGATCTTACCTAATGATATTTTCCATTTCGACCCGATTTGAACGAGACATCTTTAAATTCTTAGGACCCGAATTACACTGACGTTTTCATGAAAATTGGCTATTGATATAACCTCTATGCATACCTACATTGTTTCAACAATACGTTGTTATAGAAACAAGGTATCGTTGTTTGTTTTTGTTAATGAGATGTGTTGATTTACTGCTCACTAAGGTAGACAACTTTTATCATAGACTGCGGAGTAATAAATTATTGATTGTCTTCGAGTGACCTGGTATACATATCTGCTCCAACGCTTTCCTGAAATGCATAAAAGCATCCATTTATGGAACTCCTCTAAAATTAGTCCATTTAAAAAAACACAAAAAAAAAATTATTTTTTTCGGAAACCACAGTAGTTTTTGGCAAAAACTCGAAAACGTCCCGAGGTATGGTTGCTATTTATGAAATGCCCGAATAAAATATGAGCATCGTGGTCTTCCGACAAAATGGGGGGGGGCGGAGAATTTTTTTTCAAAATGCACGAAACTTTGTTTCACCCTGTATCACAGGTCCTGATCAATTTAGAAAAAGCTGTAAGGAACGGTTCGAAAGACGATGAAAAGGGCATTCAGAATCTGAGCGGCAATTCAAAATTGGTTCAATATTTTAGAAATTACGAGAAGTCAAACTTGATGCTAAATTTCACTATCAACCTTTCAATTGACGCCCAGTTTATGTCCCAAAGGAATGTGAAAACATTGTAGTTCATCGAACGACACCTGTGCCAATCACTATCCTGAGCAAAATGATAAAAATTTGCACTTTCCTGTGCGGAAATTCGCACTTGATTTCGCGTTTCGATAACGAGATGAGATTTATGCCATCCGATACCAATTGAATAGTAGATCTCAAAAACCTACCTGTGCCACTCCTCCCTCAGTCTGAGCCAAATCTACGACACAGCGATTTATTTGCTCCTATTATTCCGGACATACTTCCGTGATGTGATAACAAGAAGCAAAAAAAGGGGACGTTGTCGCCTTTGCGAATATCCAAACGTGCCCCGATTCAAATTGATCTAAGTTAGCGGCAGAGCATCAATATTTCCGTAAATATTCCGTCCTCCTCGAAAGATAATATCCTATGGACCAGTGTGAATCTCATGTGGTGCTCACACTCATCTTCAATGTTTTACACTGCTTGCCAATAGCCATGGAACCACCTCAATTTCCGGAAAATGATATCAGGAGGCAAAATAGGTTAAAAATCACTTCGGATTCGGAATCAAGACGCCCTATTCACCAACTATTTATATTGTTTCTGAAACATTTTTAGTTCTGAAAAATTCATTTTTGTCTCACTTTTCATGGAACACCCCCGTATCTTACGTAATCGTTGGGTTAGGATCGTGAAATTTTCTGGAGCGAGATATACCAAAAATGTACTCAAAAACTGGGATCATCTTCAGTGATATACACTGCTCACCAACAGCCGTGGAAATACACACGGGTACGGAAAATAATATCAAGAACAAGATAGGTTGAAAATCACTTCAGATTGGAAAACAGGACGTCCAATTCACTAAATTCCCATATTCTGACGCATCTTCATACTACTAACGAATTCATTTTTTCATAATTCATTTCAATGACACCCGTCATGATTACTGAACCATATTGGATCACTCCTAATAATCTATCCGATTGTACTAGTTCTGATTTTTATTTCATTATCCCTGATGAGAACTGACTTTATGATCATCAATATCAGAACAACCAATCAACCATCAAGAGAATTTTCCGATTTAATAAATGTTTTCTCCTGGAATGTCGGTGGTTCTGTGGCTGCTGGCGAGCAGTGTATCATTGGAGATGATCCTACTTGGTCATTGGTCTCCTGGACTCCTACAGCAATAATTACGTAAGATACTGGAGTGTTTCCATGAAAGTGAATTTATTATTTCAGAACTGTAAATTCTTCAGGAGGAGTAAGATTACTTAGTGATTTAGACGTTCTGTTTTCTATTCTCGAATTCGCAGTGATTTCCAACCTATCTTGTTTGCTAATATGATTTTCCCGACATGTAGGTGGTTCCATGGCTGCTAGCGAGCAGTGTATATATCACTGATGGTAATTTCATTTGGTCATTGACTGTGGTGTTTCTTTGGAATGTTTCTTGCTTCTGGCAATTTAATAATCCTAACTCGATAATTACGTGAGACAAAAATGAAATTGTCAGAACTGAATTTCTTTTCAATAGAAATATGAATAGCTAGAGAATTGGGCCTCTTGATTCCGAATCCGAAGTGATTTTAAAGCTATTTTGCCTCCTAATATCATTTTCGGGAAATTGGGGTGGTTCCATGGCTGTTGGTGAGCATTGTATATTACTAAAGATGACCCCACTTGGTCATAGGGTGCATATTTGGTATATCTCTCGCTCCAGTAAATTTCAGGATCCTTACGATGTTCTCTGAACATTACAGGATATCCCTTTTCGTGGGAACCAGAACAGAAAAAAAAATACAGGTGTGTTTCCATTTGAAGTGAGACACATCATTTCGCCATCAGACGATGGTCGACATTTGCAGCCGGCCGTCGTGTTCTAACAGAAGCATTTCTTTGGGTATTCATTTTAGGAAAGCTATTAGGATTTAAAATCTCAAAAAACAAATCACCTTGCCTTTTCTCATAGTCCTTCCTGACAAACTCAAAGTCTCAAATATAATTCCTATTAAAAAAATTGCAAGCAGCATTAATGCTGAAGATATGCGACCAATAAATACTTTACCTGCTATTGAAAAAATACTTGAAGAAGCTGTATGTGTTCAACTAAAACAGTACATATCTGAAAACAAAATACTATGTGAATATCAGTCAGGCTTCAGGGAGGAATATAGTTGTGAAACAGCACTACAATATGTTTTAAATGATTGGAATGAAAAGAAAGATGCGAGTAATATAATAGGAATTATCTTTGTAGACTTGAAAAGAGCTTTTGAAACTATCGACAGGATAACATTACTTGACAAATTGAAGGCATATGCTATTACTGGCAATGTATATAAATGGATACAGGACTATTTGAATAATAGAAGACAGAAAGTTAAAATTGGAGAGACAGAGTCAAATGAATTAGGTATTGATGTAGGAGTACCTCAAGGTAGCATACTTGGGCCATTATTATTTGTACTATACATTAATGACATCCAGCATATATTTCAAAATTGCAAATATCACTTATTTGCCGATGATACAATTATTTATACGGAAGGAAAACAATTGGATGCTCTTGTAAATAATATAAATGAGGATCTAGAGAATTTGAAGAATTGGTTAGAGGTGAATAAATTGAAATTGAATGTCAAAAAAACAAAAGCTATGCTGATAGCGAACGGCAATGTCCGCACACAATTAGAAGAAAATAATTTGAATTTTGAAATTTATGGTGAAGAAATTGATCTTGTGGATGAGATTGAATATCTGGGGGTAATAGTTGACAGTAAAATGAGGTTCGATAAACACATTGATTATACTTGTGGTAAAATTGCTAAAAAAATTGGTGTTTTGTCTAGAGTAAGTAAATATTTGACATTGTATTCTAGGAAGTTGATTTATAACACAATTATTCTACCACATTTTAATTATTGCCCCACAATTGTATACATGGCAAATCAAAGTGAAATAGAGAGACTACAGAAATTGCAAAATAGAGTCATGAGAGTTATATTGCGATGTGATTATAGAACTTCCGCTCAATCTATGTTATGTACCCTGAACTGGTTGGATGTTAAATCATTCATAAAGTACAATGTTATGGTATTTATCCACAAGATCAACATAGACACATGTCCTCAATATCTGAAAAATATATTAGTAAAATTCAGAACCGTTCATGATTATGATACTAGAGGAAAAGAAAATTTTGTTATAAAACAGGCAAAGAAAACACAGACGCAGCGTTCAGTATTCTATAAAGGTGTTGTGGAATATAACAAAGGAATTGAATTGAAAAAGAGACCACTAAATATATTTAAGAAAAATGTCAAAGATTCCATCCGAAGTGAACATATGAATGTACTGTAATATGAAATTATTGTGTAGTTTATATATATTGTGTTGGAATGTATAGCAAAAAGGCTAAATAAACTACTACTACTACTATAGTATTTTTTCTAGAAATAATTGTTCTTGTCTATCGCAAACTATCGATAAATCGACAGTTCAGTGAAAGCGAATCGTTTGTTTCAGTGAACAGTGCCACAATTTGGTATCGGGGATTTACAAGACTTCTTGCAAAACGGGCGACGGTTTGGAGGAAATGTTTGCGGACATTGCCCAACAGTTGGCCAATTCGAATCGGTCGAGATTGGAATTGCAGTCCATGGAACAGCACGGTTTCAAGATAACACCTTACGAAGATGAACCCGATGAAGACGGTTGTCTGTGTTAGCATGTGCTTCCGCGAGGTCCAATCGAATTTCCGTAAATGTACGGGGTGTTCTGAATTAGCATGTGATATTTCAATAGCGGTTTTTACGACCGAAAATTATGAAATGTGTTCATAGAGGTAGTGGTAGAAAAGGAGTTCATAGGAGGGTACACCGTGTCCTTTAATAGCCTTGGTGAAGAGAATTGGCAACAATGCCTCAACGTCCTACCGCCAGACATGATGGATATTCGCGAGATTCACGAAGTGGGCGATATATAGGTTACATAATACGAACTTCAAACTCGGGGAAAACAAACTGTTGTCTATGGATAAAGTGCATAGACTACATTGCATTCAGCTTGCTCTATAGTCAAACTTGTCAATGACATAAAGTGGTAGTGATAAGGATGTAGTGATGATGGTTGGGTTGGTTAATCTTTTTACATTATTACATTTTTATTAGTTCAGTGAACAGTGAACGGGTGAAGAATTGGAGATAGTTCAAACAATTCAAACTGATTATGACGAGCAAATAACATATAAAAGAACAGCTACAACATGTTTACAATACCCAGATCGTCCTGCTTTGTATGAACAAATACAAATCCATTGTTCTACAGGAGTTCCTCTGGACCCCAACTTCAATTTTACTTCATGTGGGGAAGATTTCATCGCCGAAATTTGTAGACAAAGTGCAAAAATGTGCCTTTTGTTGAAGTCTTCTGCCTCACACAAAATCACATGATTAGCACGGAGAACTGCTTCTCCTTCCACTACTGGTCGGCTTTTTCCATGTAAATAGAGCAAAATATTTTCCAAAAGAACATCTACAACAGGCATTATTAGCGTTTTCGATCGAATATTGACAATTAATGTCAAGAAATTTAAAAACTTATCACTCCTATCAGTACACAGTACACAAGCTAATGACACTAATGGGATTGAGTGAGGATTGAGTTTGTTTTCCCCCAGTTTTGACGTGGCTTTGACATGGAACGATGAAAACCGAGCGCCACCTGGTAACATTGATTCCCGCGAATACGATATACATGACCTGTGACTGCAACAGAGTAGATTTGTTTGGTTTTCAAAAATGAATTGTTGTGTTATCGTCCCACCACAAAGAAGTGTTCATGCAAGATATCATTTTCTTACAATATTACTATCGTCGTGAATGACCTAACGAAACTCCCCTTTTTCCGATTTGACATGACTCCGAGACTCCGAATACCTTCAAGAACAAATTCCAATGCCATACATTGGAACTGCATTTTCAACTCAAGATACATAAATTCTACTTTCTTTTTCTTTATTGTTATCTTCTCTCTTTCTCTTTATCTTATCTCTCTTCTCAATCATCTTCTGAGTCTCTTTCTACGTTCTTCAACTATTAGGTACATATTTCATCTAATTTGGTGACCATTCACTATTAATATAAACTTATGTAGGCTTTGGTAGAAGAACAGCCTCAGAGGTTTACCTTCTGAAGTCTGAACCATATGCCTTTTATCTGCCTACCCAATATAGATATAGGTATATAATAAACGTATTTATTATCATTATTGTATGGAATATTGTTGAAAGCCACTGAACAGTGTGAGGAACAATCTATAAGTGAAAATGTGTAGGTACCAAGTCCATCAAAACTAATTGTTGAATTGAGGTTATGTTTCCTTAAATTTCGAAGTAGAGTAAGTATTTTCAAGATACCGTTTGAGAAGATGCCAAATTATTGTTGTGAATGTTAAGTGTCCGAGACCATCACTCAGCTTGCTGATTACAAAACAATTTGTGAACAAATAATTGTAATTTGTACTTTTTTGTTTGAATAAGAAGTACTCGAAAAAAGTCAAAGAAAAGAAGTAGGAAGTAGGTATGTTAAAATGGTGGATTCAACTTAACTAAAAATAATTAAACTGCCAAATATTTTCACGTTTGAAACAAGGAATGAAAGAATGAAAACCTACTGTATTCATCGCCAAGAGGTTAGTCACGATGTACGGAATTCAACTATTTTATCGTGACGCAACCCGTAAATATTCAGAGATTAAAATTATCAGGAACCTCTTCCCGAAGAGTCGGTTTGTAGTACCTTAGGAATTACTTTTCAACCTATGTTTTTACCGACATTTTTCATTATTTTCGTTCGTAGAACCATGTGAAGTATTGTATGCTAATTCTGGGACACCCTGTATACATGGTGGTAAACATGTAAGTAGATGTGCATAATATTCCGAAAGCTTTGTCGTCCTCACCCTCCACTGGGGACTACGCGGCTGTGGACATTTCCTTTACGGCCCTCGATATACATCGTTATTCACAGTGTTGTGAAATTCTCAACATATTTTTGTTGATGACAATATCACCGAAAATAAATAATGCAAAAGGAACTGAGGTATATGAGAATTAAAAACACTAATTTTAAGTGGAAGTAAAAAAACTTATGCCAACTTATGAAAGTTACTCGATATACAGGGTTTCCAAATTTAAGTCGTCACTAATGCCAACTTGGCTATTATTAGATCACAATGTCAGTTAAAAGGGCAAACTAGTAGTATTTTTTCCGCTGATTACTATGATAAAAACGAAACAAAAGTCTAACATCTTGTTGAGGAGTTATGTCAAAAGGTTAATTTTTTTAAATGGGACACCCAGTATACAATATTCTTAATCCATAGGAAATTTGATTCTGAAAAAAATTACTAGGATATCGATGAATTTTCAAATTTGCCAAAGTTAGTCAAGAGTGGTACATGATGTATTACCTTGCCATAAATTACCATAACGTGAAATGAAATCGCCAATAGATTGATGATCATTTTTGAATTTAGGATACAAATTTATAGGACAGTTCTTGTTCAGAATCGAATTTACTATTGATTGAGAATATTGTATACTGGGTGTCCCATTCAAAGAAATTGAACTTCTTGACATTCGTTTTCATCATCGTAATCAACTGAAAAAATACTACTAGTTTGTCCATGTAACTGAATTCGTAGCTACAATAATAACCAAGTTAGCAATATAGCCGACTTATATATAATAATCTTATATAAAGTAATCTTTGTTCTGAGATTAATATTGTATTGTCAATGACATAACACCTGTATTCAAATTAATCTCTTGGACTCTTGAAGATTCCATCAGAATAAGAACATTATGATGGAGGAAATCACAAACCAATAGGAAGCGCAGACAATTTTTTTCCATGAAGTAGAGGTTAACAACAAATATTTGCCATTAGTTTTCAATGTGATTGTTAAAGGCAAAAGGCATTTTACAATATCTGACTCAAGTTTTATCATTCAAATTGGTTCCAAAGGGTATTTTCATATGACACCTACCAGGGAATTGAAACACTATGAATTTCCATTCATCATTAGTCTTTGAATACTGTCTTTGACCTCTACACTTTTACCTAGCTTGTTTCAGGATTTTTGAGATGAATGTGATTAGTTGGAATATGTTGGTTGCAATCAAGACCTACGGTAGATGGTCAGCTGAGTATGGTGTGGAAAGTACCTACGATGTATCTAGTAATGGGAAGTTTCCTCTATTGAGGTTTTTGTCTCACTGTGAAGTTTGTAAAAAATTAAAATCGACGTGATTTCGTAATATCAAATTTCACTTCATTTAAAAATAAATAACAGAGGAACTTGGCTCCTCCACCATTCCTATGACGACTCATTTTCTGAAAATCCACATTCACACAGGGTTAAAATACGATTCCCTGTGCCAGTACGACGTTGCCCACATCATTAATATGTCTAGATTTTCGGAAATTGTTCCTTGAATGCATAATAACTATATCATAATAGCAATGGGATATAATAGGTTCTTCAATCCTACTTTGTCAAGTATTATGAATAATTCCCATAAATCTCTCATTGGCTGAATGCAGTTTTGATTACTAATAAAGATAAAGATTATTATACTTCCAAGTTTTCATGTTATTTCTTGATCAGAAGAGAAAATTTGTGTGAAGAAACAATGTTAGTTCATCAAGAACTCTGACATAACCTGCTATTAGACCGCTATATGTCATATCCTAACAGCCCGTAAATCTCATATGGATTGTTTCTTTGTGAAATGGCTTCTGCTCAAGGCTCAGAAGGATCCACATTGTCATTCATGACACCGAGTGTGTCACTTGGTGTTCGTAAACATGAATGAGAGTGATGATCAGTTGGATGTCGTGAATGGATGAGCTTTTGTCATACAGCATTAACGTTCTACTAGTACTAGACAGTCGATTATATCGGTGATCAGAAATCGTAAAAATGAACAATCCTCACAATCACGAATTATGTCCTAAAAATAGCGAAATTGAATCAGAATTTACTCTTCAAATGTTAGTTCCTATGCTGGGCAATGCAGAATATTAAGTTTGTTCACCTCTATTTCTAGTTCCAGAACAGACACTAGAGGTCAGCCACTTCGTTATTGTTGCGAATTAGAATGTCAGAAAGTTGTTATATGTATAGTGTATTCCAAATAAGAAGATATTAATAGGCGCTACCTCAGAAGCTGGCGGAATAAGAATATGGCGGCTAATCGGCTGTAATTTAATATTGTGGCCATGCTGTCTTTTTATTAGTTTGGATGGACTATAATATTGTAATTTTTGAAAGGAAAGTAGGTTTATTTGACATTATGGCTGCCAATATATTGTTTTTACTAATTGATCTGTTACTTAATTTTTTAGAATTTTCATATCCGTCAAATCTATAATGTGTTTTTTATTATCTCCTAAAACTGTGATTTGAATATAAGTTAAGCTTTAGCTTTTGTAATAAAAACTGTGATTATTGTTAATTGTTATTGTTCATCTGTCAGATTTGTGACAGTTTCAGATACCTATACAAAATATAATCAACTATCTTGTGTCTCTACTAAAATTTCAGTTTATAATTTATAAGTGATTATTCCACTGTAGAACAAGTTACCTTTCTAGTCATTTGTTAGTCTTTGAAAAAATCTCGAATTGGTATTAAAAAGGCCCTCACTAAATTGTGATCGAT